TTGTTGCAGGACTTCTTCAGTGGCAGGAATTTTTTACAAGTCTATAAATCCCAACAAAGTAGTGGCCTGCGATGCGGTGTTGTTGGTGGCCGAGGTGACTGGTGAGGGGTCGGAGGCAACAGAGAATTTGATGTTGCTGGAAGTGACATCACTCTCACTGATATTGGACACACGAGTAGATGCAGCAACAGCGTTGATAGGGGGTAACACTCCAATTCGAACGATATTGAATAAGACACTTACTTTCAAGTGGGTAGATCTAAATGTATGAGGGTGAGTGCGCAAAGCCATATGACAACTGCTTGTTGGGAGAGTTTACCCTCTCAGTGTAATGTCTGAGTTTGATGCGGCCTTTAATGTTTACGAGAATGCCATTCTCAATGTGTCAGTGGAGGACAAATCATCAGGGTGTCAGAATGAAATCTCCGTCACTTACAACAGGGTCGTTCATTGGAAGAGGAGGTAGGGCGAGTGCTGAATGAGGGGGAGAAGTTCAAGCAGAAGGTTGAGAAGGAGAGGAGCAGGATAGCAGCAAGGTGTATGCTTGAAGACTAAATCTTCAGCACAAAATCACAAATGGAGAGCAGAAATATAGAACAAAGTATATCAGAGGCGTTCGGACAATATTAACTGACGTTGTGTGAGATGACGATTAAGTGGATGGACGCCGGACAACAGGTCACAAGGGAGAAGTACGACCTCATGTACAAAAATCGGCTACTCTATACAACTCACTTTCTGGAACGAAGAATGTTGGTTCGTGATCACTGAGATATGGAAATTGAAAGAAATCTCCGAAATGGACCTAACTAGATGTGATAATGTAATCCCAACCCAACTCACACCCACAGCGAATTGTTGCTCTTTCTGCCTTTCGGCGGCTATGTAGATATGCATTCAGTAAAGTCTTGGTGTACCCACTTATCTGTAAACTTGTCCACCCATTTTTCTTCCTCCATTCATTTATTTATAGCGCGGCACCAGCCTGTCAGGTTCCCAGTGTGGACTCCAGCAATCATTTCGCCGCATAAACACCGCAGCCATTTCCTCAATTGGCCTTGAAAATTACGACACACGCATTGCATTGCCCCGTCTCTCAGGGATGTCTCTCAAATAGCCTTTGAGACTTAATATGTGCAAATTGCAAAGTCAATCGGTATCGTTAATAATCCTTCCTATCAAGGGTTAGTTATTTAGGTATGCGGATGAGCGTTTGCAGAGACATGCAGGCTAGGCCCGGTGCCTCACCTCGCACACACACCTCGGGCGCTTGTAGCGGACAGTGCCACACAGTGTCAAGAGGCTCATTTCGGATCAGTGGTAAATAGGCAATCCTGGGATGAAATCAACGCAAGAAACTACAGGCATGT